AACCCACGCTGTATTCACGAGCGCCTACCCTTAAAGGATAGGGTTCCTCAACCCACCTCGCAGGTCGTTCGGGACCGGGCATACCGTGGGCGCTAAGGCTGCAAAGTCCCCCCTCGCCTCGGCACAACGTCCCAAGTCTAAAACCCGAAAATCGCCNGACGGGTATTGCTGGTTCCATAAAACGTATGGAACAGGTGCCCGCAGATGTAATCCCCCTTGCACTTACGTCGTGAGAAACGCCATCACCGGTAAGTAACTGCAGCCTTACTCGCCTGTCCATCCAGCCCCCCACCCCAGGTTGACCGCCTGTTTTATGTGAAAGACTATTATACACGCCCTAGGTTTCTCGTTAATACGAGGGCCCAAATTTCTGTCGCACCCGTCGATAGCAGCAAGCCTCGTGTTTCACAACTTCGGTTGTGTGCTGCGAATGGCACTCCTACTTACAGTGCTCGAAGACTAGCGGTTAACCTGGGGTCTCGACGACGGTATATGTGGACGTTTATCCTCGCGTACGTTCCTACAAGTATCCTCGGTATCGACTTCCTACAGTTCTATGAGTTATTCGTTGACTCACGTAGACTGCGGTTGATTGATATTTTGTTGAACATTAAATTCACTAGCTTCTAGGCTCGCACAGACGTTCACTGAATCACAGGCATCTTACTTGATTCGCTTGACTCGTTCCACTCGTTAATGGAACGCTTCCCCAAAGTGACAAAACCTATTGAGGAGATTAACCTGTTGACAGACCGTGTGGTCCATCACATAGTCACTAAAGGACCACCAGTCATGGCACAACCTCGCCGACTGGCACCAGACGAACTAGCTTTTGCTAAGCGTGAGTTCGACGCTTTGCTTTCAAAAGGCATTGTTCGTCCTTCTCACAGTCCATGGGCCTCTCCTTTAAACATGATTCTTAAAAAAGATGGCATTAGCTGGCGACCATGTGATGATCGTCGAGCACTTAACGCAGTGACTCGTTTTGATAGCTACCCCATTCCCCACATAAATGACATCACTGCGTCACTTCGTGGTTGGACTATTTTTTCGAAAATAGATTTGGTGCGGGCCTACCACCAAATCCTAGTCACTCCTGAAAAAGTAAAAAAAACCTGCTGTCACGGGTCTTTTAAGGTCTGTTTGAGTTTGTACGTATGTCTTTTTGATTTGCGAAATGCTGCTCAGACTTTCCAAAGAGTTATCGATAGCATCACACGAGACTTAGATTTTGTTCACGTCTATATCGATGATTCATTAATAGCATCATCCACTGTAGACAAACACTATCATCATTTGGCATTATTGTTTCGGCGTTTATCTGACCATCAAATAGTTGGCAACCCTGATAAGTCCAAACGTGGTCGATCGGAACTTATTTTCCTCGGCCACAAGATCACACGAGAAGGTATTCAGCCATTTGAGGATAAGGTTCGCACCATAAGAGACTACACCTTGCTATCTTCCCCCAAAGACCTCAAAGCGCTTTTGGACTAGTAAACTTCTACCGGAGTTTCATTCCTCACGCTGCTAAATGGCTAAGACCATTGACGAAGCTACTTCGCGGCAATCCACGTAATCTTGTACTTACAGATTCCGCACGAGTTGCGTTCCAAGAGGTAAAAAAAATGTATAGCATGTACGACGCTCCTTATGCACCCCGATTCATCAGTCATGCTCAGCATAGCGGTTGATGCCTCTGAGTATGCCATCGGAGCAGTCTTGCAGCAACACATTTCGGGGATGTGGCAGCCTCTCGAGTTTTATTCTCGACGCCTCACTCCCACAGAAACGAGGTACAGTGATTTAGGTCGGGAACTGCTGGCTGCTTACAGTGCAATCAAGCATTTTCGCCATGCAGTCAAAGGTAGGAATTTTACTCTTCTCACTGATCACAAGCCTGTAACGTATGCTTTGCATACCAAGTCTGATCGTTATTCTCCACGAGAAACCAGACGTTTAGACTATATTTCACAGTTCACGACTGACCTTCGACATGTACAGGGCAAGTCGAACTGTGTTGCTGACGCGTTATCACGCATTAGCATTAATGCGATAACGTCCACCGTGCTAGATTTCTCTGCCAAGGCTGCAGCACAGGCAGACGATACCTCTAGGCAAGAGGCAGCCCGTTCATCCTCGTTGCAATATCAAGCAGTACCTCTAGCAACGACTTTTGACACCATCCTCTGCGACACTCCAACAAGCATCCCTCGCCTAATAGTACCTTCTTCTTATCAGCGTCTCATGTTCAACATTTTACATAGGATTTCTCACCCAGGTATCACAGCCACATTTCGCCTAATCCCTGCACGGTACTTCTGGCCGTCCATGATAAAGCTGTTCGTATGTGGGCAAAACAATGTCTACAATGGCAACGAGCTAAGGTTCACAGGCACGTGGTTTTACTTATAGGCAATTTCGTTACGCTCGATTCGATCATGTGTACATCGACATTGTTGGACCTCGACCACCGTTACAGGGGTATGCGCATATACTTACATGCGTTGACCGGTTTACAATTTAGCCCGAAGCTATTCCCATCTCTACCGCCTCGGCCGAAACAGTGACTCGGCAATTTGTGGAACGATGGATAGCTTTTTACGGTTGTCCCCCTACGGTCACCATCGACAAAAGACAACAATTTGAGTCCGATCTTTTTTCCCCAATAACGCGTATGCTGGGTACGAAACGCATTCGAACCACAGCCTGCCATCCATCATTTGTTGGCATTTTCACCGCCAACTTAAGGCTGCCCTAATGGCGCGCGAAAATTTTTATTGGCACGAAACGCTACCTCTAGTTCTGCTGGGAATCAGAACCTGTGTAAAGGCAGACATCGAATGTTCCGCTGCTGAACTTGTCTTCGGCGCGATATTGCAACTGTCTGGGGAATTCTTTACGCCACGGAGTAGCGTCAACATAGCCATGCTGACATGCGCCCAATGTTTATCCATCTTCATACAGACACTGTCTCCGGTTCAAACACCATTACAACAGCGGCAGGTATTTTGCCCCACGAATTATCTTCCTGCTTACACGTATTCGAACGAGTTGATTCGGTACGCAAACCTTTACAACAGCCTTACGAAGGACACTTTCGTGTCATTTTACTTCACTTCAAGATTGATTGACATGGCCGCGTAGATATCATTAACATAATAATAATAGATCGTCTAAAAGCAGCATACGTTGACGAAAACGTTATGCACGCTAACACTAAACTTGCTGCTAATCCCTCTCAGCCTCTGAACGAGACACCGGTTTCACGTTCAGGCTTGCACTATTCTTCCGCTGCACTAGCTTTAGACGAGGCATCTTATTTACGTCTTAGCTGGCAGCCTCCACAACTCACCACGGCTCCGAATGAGGTTTCATCCTCACATTCGAGTCTGCAACCACCACTTTCTGCCACGGTTTTGAATGAGGCACTCGCTTTNGCTTTGCATTCAGACCGATAGCCTCGCGCAACGGTTATGACTTCGGACGTGACCCCGGTTTCATGTCCTATTCAACCAGATGCAGCTTTATCTCTACTATCGACCGAGACTTCCGTCTCAATTTCTGGTCGCAGAATCCTTTTGCCGGCACGTTTTCGAACGCATGTGAAACTCGATTCTAAAACATTGCACATTGCACAGCAATACCATTGCATGGAATAATATCACGAGTTGTACTTGATATTTGTTTAGTATTAATATTGCCGTTTCTTACAAATATAAACGCTAAACTAATGTCGCTCTAGTTCAACTGGTACGCTAACTCAAATCGACCACATAGCAGTAAGTTACAGTTGGCGAGTCTTAGTGCAAAATCGCAGGTCCTATCGGACCACCTGCGTTGAGTCAGACCACGCATTAATTTTCATGCAGTTCACTCCCTGACTGACTGGGCGGCGACAAAACTAGAAACATCGGATAGCTCATCATCGACTATCTGTTCTAGCAGTTCATACACTCGATGAGTCAGAGCTAGTGCACAAGCTAAGTGCGCTTCAACGTGGTGATGTAGACGAGTAGTGGGATCAGATTAGGCACCGCAGCAAATCTTGCTTGTGGGTCCGAGCCTCAAACCCGCCGGAGGCATTGGATATCTCAGGAGTCAGTAGCCCTGATGGAGCAGAAACGACAAATCCCAACCTGTTAGGGTCAAAATAGAATTAGGTGGCATCTTCATCGCGATTTATTTACCATGGAAACAACAGTGAAACTGCTTTTCCGTTGATACTTTACAATTAAACAAGCTGACTAATGGATGCAAAGCTAAAGAGCAGCCTGACGGATATCAATAATTCTTTTATAGGAAGAATGTCCACTTGACTTGACTTGACTTAAAATCAAGGCGTGTTCCTTAAAGGACGCAAGTTGAATGTTATTATTGCTTCACTGATGTGAACAGAGATGAATTCAGATTGAAACTCAGAGTACTTAAAGAGAGCGAAACAGACGAATAGATATATAACAAAGTAGCATACTGAGAATCAAAAAGGGGCCAGTTTCATACACGCGCTTATCAACCACGCAACTGCCTCAATAAGTGCACGTTTGACAATGGGGATGATGGAGGCGAGTGATACCTTATGCCAAGCAGAAGAGGAGGTAGGAGTAGGCAGTAGGTTAATGGGATACCGCGAATAGTATGGAGAAGCCAAGTCGAACCAGTTCACATTCCGGCAAAAGATTGTTTTGTTTGGACATATGCTCGATCCAGCGGGATTAAACTCCTTCATAATCTCTGATGTGTTTTCCCAAACAGAAAGTAATGATAGTGCTCAATAGTTGAATGAAGCAGACACCGAATGAGACGCATGCCATAATGACCAAGCTGCTCTTTGAAAATTGGCCGAAAGCTTCCGTGCAGCCCTTGGAGTACGGTATCATCAAGGATGACTTGCAAGAATCAGGAGGACTAGCATATCGTTGGTAGTCCAAAGGTCCTTCATCACCATAGCAACAGAATTTCTGCTGAATGAGGTCGATGGACTTTGCAATCTCTTCAGCTTGATGGTAACGCTGGACATACTCGAGCAGCACTTGCTTGATTTTCGAATCAATCTTATCCTTTTAGACGATGGCTAAAACAGGCATCACGACTTCACCAATCAGCAGGAAGGCAAGCAATGTACCGTACATGTGCAAGGTGCATACATTCTCGCGAATGACACCAAAACATCCCAAAAAGCTCACTAGGAGAATAACCCCGCCTAACACAAGGATAGCGACTTGCGCCACTTGCCAAACTTGTGAAGTTTAGGCTCATAAGCAGAAAACTTGACTTGAACGTACGCCCCAACTCCGATAAGCAAAAGAGCACACAACAAACAGATGATCTTCAACACAAACACAGAGCATTTCAAACATTTCATACCCAGGCTAAGGCCCGCCATCTTCAAAGAAAATTTGAATCAATCATTTGAATCTACAACGTCAGCTCACGAAGAACCTTAAGAACGACCGTGAGAACTGGTGGACAATAATAGCCAGTGAAATGAAAGTAGCAGCTGCATCAGGGAATAGTCAAAGACGGTTCCGACTGATACGCAATACGGGAGGTCAGCGAAATTCAGTTAGTGAAACAGTCTGCGATAAGAAGAAACGAGCTATTCACAATAGAGATCAACGACTCGATCGCATGACAGAATACTTCAGCGACCAGTTCTGCTGGCTTAGAGCTAACCAGGCTACTTCTTCGGCAACTGAAGCTCCGCGGGCATTGTCATGCGATCCTCCAATGGAAGCAGAAATTTGGTCCTCCATTCAAGCTCTGAAGCGAGGCAAGGCAACAGGACCAGATGAGCTCTCTCCCACTCTTTTCAAGATGCGATATGATAATCTATTAAGCTGTATTACTACCTTACTGTGCAACATTTGGACGCAAGAACACATTACTTCATCTTGGGGTGAATCACTGATCGTTTCCATTTCCGAAAAAGATGTCTCAACAACTGTGAAAACCACCATGGGATCAGTTTGATCCCGATCGTCACCAAAGTGCTTCGGTTATACTTCGACGTCTGACGCCTTTAAAAGAGGCCAACATCCGTGAACAGCAAGCCGGATTTCGGCCTGGCCGTGGATGTATTGATCAAAATTTTACGTTGCGCCAGGTCCTTGAGCTGCGTCATACCCACCGTCGGCAACGATTGCAGTGTTCCTTGACCTGAAAGGAGCCTTCGACTCAGTTGACCGCGAAGCTCTTATGGGCTCCTTTCTTCGAAAAGAAATGCCCCAGAAGTACGCTGACTTACTGAGGTCACTGTACTCAGAGACCTCCGGTCGTGTAAGGGTTTAAAACAATCTAAGTAGGCCGTTCGTCAACAGCAGCGGTGTCCGTCAAGGATGCTCTCTTTTGCCGTTCCTATTCGGTTTCGTCGTCGACGAAATACTGGAGCGCGAACTAAGGGGAGAAAAGCTGTGCGATTTAGAGTACACCGGAGACATCGTCTGTCTGGTTGAATGTATGGGGGACGCGAAAAGCGCACTTGATAGATTAACAAGTGCAGTAACCACATTCGGTATGTGCTTNTGTTTGTTTTAAGTCAGCGACTGAGAAGATTAAACGAAATGTTAAAATCTCGCGACATTTGTCTTCTTTCTGTTTTGATGAGATGATAAATCTCTTGATTCAGTTTGTCGGGCCAAAAATAATCTGTATGCATTATCTGCGAAGACTCGTGGGGTTATATGGGAGGTGATAACCTCGTAACCTGTATTACTACCCTACTGCGCAACATTTGGATACTAGAGCACATTCCTTCATCTTGGGGCGAATCACTGATCGTTCCCATTTTCAAGAAAGGATCCCGCAACGATTGCGAAACCACCGCCGGATGAGTTTAATCCCGATCGTCACGAAAGTGCTCGCTTCGGTTATACTTCAACGTCTGACGCGTTTGAGAAAGACCAACATCCGTGAACAGCAAGCCGGATTCCGGCCTGGCCGTGGATGTATTGATCAGATTTTTACGTTGCGTCAGATCCTCGAGGTGCGTCATACTCACTGTTGGCCAACGATCGCAGTGTTCCTTGACCTGAAAGGAGCCTTCGACTCAGTTGGCCGCGAAGCTCTGATGGGCTGCCTTCTTCGAAAAGGAATGCCCCAGATGTACGTTAACCTACGGAGGTCACTGTACTCACATACCTCCAGTCGTGTAAGGGTCTACAACGAACTAAGTAGGCTGTTCGTCATCAGCAGCGGCGTTCTTCAAGAGTGCCCTCTTTCGCCGCTCCTGTTCAATTTAATCGTAGACGAAATACTGGAGGACGAACTTAGTGGTCTCCAAAACGTAGGTATTGAATGGACAGCTAGAGAAAATCCATGCGATTTGGAGTACGCCGATGAAATCGTCTGTCTGTTCAAATTTATGGAGGGCGCGCAAAGCGCACTTGATAGATTAACAAGTGCAGTAGCCACATTCGGTATGTGCTTTGCACCCTCAAAGTGCAAAGTGATGCTGCAG